AAAAGAATCAAAGAAGATTTCGAGTAGTTGGTTTCGATTTCTAATCAAACATATCTCTCCTCTTCCATTTCATTGATATATACAATTGATCAGAGGCTTAGAAAATTGTCGACTCCGACGATGGCTTCGTCTCTTTGTCGTTACTTCATAGTTTAATCGTCGATGATTAATTGCTGATTCATCGTGTCCATGCAATGAGTGATAACTTTCTCCATTCGTTTCGGTGTCACGTTTTCGTTTGATTCTAGTTTATATTGGTAACCGCTTTTATCTCTCTAGAGTAGAGTCTCCTTTAGATGAAAAACAAGACATGCCAGTTTTCCGAATCAGTCGTATATGGTTGAAAAATGAGCATAGTATATTAGCAATGACTAATTTGGTATCTTAGTTGTTCGGATCATACAAAATTAATGTGGAAACTTTTCAATGCAATGACTAATGTGGAAACTTTTCAAAATTAATGGAATGTCATATGTAGAAAAAAAGTAAAAATAAATGAGTCTTTTAATTATAAATACAAAGAAAGAAGAAGGTGAAAGCCCAATAAGAAGGAAAAATTTAAAAGCCCAAAACAGGTTTTATGTGGCAGAAGATTCTTCTTGATGATTGATTGAAATCTATAAAAAACTGAAACCACCGGAGACGATCTGGAGACGATTTGAAAAAAAAAAGAAGAAGAAGACAAGTGTTATTTAACATGATGATGCCTTCAACTTCAAGCATAATCGCCGGAGAAGAATCGATCGTACCATCTGTGGCAAGTGTTTCCGGTGAATCGTCTCTCTCCGATATGACTCAGACTGTTCATTTTTCCTCTGGAAACCCTAGGATCGGGGAGACTCGAGGCGTCATGCATCTATTTTCCGACGATGCGGTTTCGTCGTCTTCTTCTTCCTCCTCGGATCTCCCTGTAATATTCTTCGAATCCGTCTTGAGTTTTCTTCTTTATTTCGTTTGATTTTTCTCCTTTTGAATCTGGAATAGTTTTGTTGTGTGTTTAGATTGGGAGGAATCCTCTTGTTTGCGTTCTTGGGGTGCCGAATCATATGACATATGCAGATTTTTGCCAGTTCTGTGGCTCCTTCATTCAGCATATACTGAATATGCGAACAGTGAGGTAAGAACAGTATCAAATTCCCCTTCCTAGCAATTTAGATCCTTCTTTTGCTAGATTGTGATTTCCATTTGTTTTCTGGTAGTCTCGAAAAGTCAATTTATCTGCAAAAACTGTACTCTGTTTCGTTCTGAAATGTATATTTTGGATGGCGAGAGATATGGAGTTAGTTTGCTTCTGGCTTTTGATCTTTACAGGAACGATGGGGTTGAAAATAGATATAGCATTTTGATAAGTTTTGATAGTCAAGAATCTACCGATACATTCTACCAGCATTTCCGAGGGAAACAATTCAATTCTCTCGAGGTATGGTTTTGTTTGAGACACCGGCTGTCATTGAATACGAAATCATCTGTACCGTTTTGAGTGATTAGTCTATGCCAATTCTGTGCAGGAAGATGTCTGTCGCCTGCTTTTTACACTAGATGTTCAGTATACCGGCTATAGTGGAACTATCGACCATACACAGCCTTCTGCTGCTGGCCCGATTGAGCAACCTACTTGCCCAGTTTGTCTTGGTAAAGTTTGACCTGAATTATTCAAGTTTGTGCAGAAATATGGCTTAGTATAGCTCTAGAAAGTGTAAACTTAGGTGATTGTATTAGGTGTCGTCGAGGTATATTCTAAACCTTGTTTAACATATGTTTATGTTTCAGAGAGATTGGACCAAGACACTGGTGGCATTCTCACAACCATGTGCAATCATTCCTTCCATTGCTCATGTATTTCTAATTGGGCAGATTCTTCTTGTCCAGTATGGTTCTTTTATTGTTTTCATGCTATGTTTAATCTTGTGTCAGTTTCCTTCATGTGTCCTTTATGGGGTGTTGTTTCTTTGTTTTTCAGGTTTGTCGATATTGCCAACAGCAACCTGAAAATTCGGTATGTTGTGTATGCCAAACAACGGAGAATCTCTGGATGTGTGTTATCTGTGGAGTTGTTGGCTGCGGGAGGTATGGATTGTGTCTTGCAATCATCACGAAGACTTTATTCCTTCTCGTCCGTTAAAGGATAACCACTTCTCTCTGTTAAATACTAATCGTAGGTACAAAGGAGGACATGCCAGAAGGCACTGGGAGGAGACAGAGCATTGCTATTCACTTGAGCTTGAAACACAGCGTGTTTGGGATTATGCTGGTGACAATTATGTTCACCGGCTTATCCAATCTAAAACTGATGGCAAGCTAGTGGAGTTGAATTCCCATGGTAGTCTGAGCAAGGATGGTTGTGGAAGCTTTGAATGTTCTGACAGTGGAATGACTGATGCTCTCTTGAACAGCAAAGTGGATATGGTAAGTGCGTCTGTCTCATGTTTTCATAATCCTAGTGTTCAACTTTAAAGCTATGAAGTTTATTTAGTGCTGCCTCATCTTTTTTCATTTTATAACCACAGATCATTAGTGAGTACGACGAACTTCTCCACGCACAACTAGAGAACCAAAAACAAGTAAGCACCTATACTGGTTGCTTTTGTTGTCTACATTACTATTACTAGTCTCTTGAAGTTCATATTGTCTGATTCATAACATGAAGTGTTAATTCTGTCTACCAGAGAGACTAAGCCTTTTTTACTTGTGTTTTTTCCTTGTATCTTCTCCTGTTAGTATTTTGAAAAGCTGCTACAAAATGTGAAAGAGGAAACCGAACAGAAAGTCGCAGAAGCAGCAAGCAAGGCAATAAGCCAGAGACAGCAGAAGCTGCAAACCAGGTTTGACAGATGTATGAAAGAGAAGCACTTTCTTGAAGATGTAAGTATATAGCTTTCGTCAAAGAACAAAAAAAATTTTTGATGACATACTTACATATGGTTCAATTCTTGTGTGGGACTGAGTGATTGTTTTTCTTATATGCAGTTGAACGAAAATCTTGTGAAAAATAAAGACGTATGGATCACCAAGATTACAGAAATGGAAGAAAGGTATTCATTCATCTATCCATCAAATATTTCCATTTTCTAATGGGAAATTGTGCATATTCTCCATTGATGGAACTTTATCTTCGATTTAGGGAGAAGAAGGCAGTTCAGGCAAAGGACAAGAAGATTCAGGGCTTGGAAGAACAGGTAATGAAACCACCTATATACATGAATTAAGAGCTCTACGTTTTTGGTTATAATATGCAAATACTAATTGTGATTAATTCAACACTAGCAGATTGGAAAACTAATGGCCGAAATGACTGATAGTGAAGTGTTAGAGTCTGAAGAAGTCGAGGACGGTACTGTCTTGCCCATATCTACCGATACTACATCTTTCTCTGTGAGTGGGAATAATGCAAGTTAAAAAAAGAGTAACAGAAGAAATGGTTAGATCAAGATTTTAACTCTAATTCTTGTAACAAAATTTTAGTTAGTTTAACTACAACTTCGGATATGGTCCTAAGTCGAAGCAAGTGTAACCATCGACTGTGTTCGCGTTATGTGTGATCTGAGAGGAACATTGGTTGTCATAATATAATGGTTGTCAAAAATGATTACAATGGTTAAAATCAAATTTGAAGAATCGTATTTGGTTGACAAATTAGATGAAGAAACTAAATTATTGACTGAAATGTTAGAAGAAAAATATATTTTTTGAATGAAAAATTATATTCATATTCACTAC